GATGTCGTTCACCCGTTATAAGACGCATCCATGGTCAACGTCCTAATATAAAGTAAGTTCATACTTACCAAAGATTCCAGTTACCAATGAGTAAAGTGACAGGAAGACACAGTCCCAGAACTAAGAAAAATCTAGCTGCATGAAGCAAAGGGAAAATAAATTCTATTACCAGAAGGTTCAATACGTAATGAGCCAATGAATATTCAAACTACAAAGCAATGTGGTAACTACTAGGAATTAATATGACACACTCATCTAAATCAGACAAGTTTGTGGAAATCTTTACTCGACATGAGGTGCCCATTTAGCATGTGTCTATTACAATCACAAGGTTATCTAAAATGAACTTTTGCACTAGTACTTACATCTTGGCATGTAAACAGCTGAAGCTACCAGGAGCCCCCGCGTCGTACAAGGCAGCTCGGCAGCTAGCTCCGGGGCTGCGGTGTGGCCGTCTGGTGGCAGGCCGGTGGCGGCGGTGGCGTGGAGAGGATGTCGTGGAGGACTTGGTTGGGCATGTTAGAAGGGAGAGAGGGATTTGGTGGAATAGTTGTTGTATTGCTTTAGCCTTAGGCATATATGTAGGAGTACATGGTCATCTTGGAGTACAAGTCAAGGCAGGAACAAATCCTACGCTATCTTATGTTTCCTAAATAAACATTATACTCAACATCCCCCCGCAGTCACAACGGTAGCAACGCAGACGATGAGACTGGAGAAGAATCCGAAGGCAAGCCGACGAACACCCCCCACAGTCGTAATGGTCGATGCATCGCGAAAGTCGTGGCTGGAGTGGAAACCGACGAGGTTGCTCAAGCAAGGCGGTAGCCCTTTGTGCCGTTTGTCAATATAGCCAAGAGCGTGGGTGGTGGAGCCGTGGTCGAGGTAGCCGTGCGAAGAATGCCGTGGTCGATGTCGAGTCGGAGTGGCCGGTGTCGAGGAAGTCACCGTGGAGCCGCGGGCGCAAGAGGGCGCCGAGTTAGTCATGGGCGCAGTGTTGACGAGGTAGTGGTGCGCCGGAAGGATGATGGTGTTGACGACGCGTCGCGGCGGGTTTGCCAAGCCCGGGGACACATCATGGACGAAGGCACGCACCGGTGTTGCCAGCACCGGGCATGCGTAGACGGACGAAGACGAAATTGACGAAGCACCGACTAGGCTTGCCAGGCCCGGGGACACATTGTGGATGAAGGCACGCATCGGTGTTGCCAGCACCGGGCATGCGTAGACGAGGGACCTGCACGAGTTGTACGCCATGTCGGAGAAGTCAGAGGGGCCAGCAGAGAAGAACTCGACGACGATTGCGGCGTCCATCGGCGCGGGGCCGATGTCACCAACGGTGGTCGGAGTAGACGAAGTGGTCAGGGTAGATGACGGCAACGCTGGTGACAGGCTGGTGCTTGGACAAAGACGAAGGGGGTGGACGAGCGGCGACGGCGGCTACGGAGGTAGCGGCGGCGGCCAAAGAAGAGCGGCGGCGGCGGCTAGGTTAAAAGTACGGCGGCAGTGCTCGAAGTAAGCGAAGAACCCTGACAGTGTGACGAAGACCGGCGCGGATGGTAGCGTTCCCGCGCCAAGGGAGACGGCGTGGCGCATACCACGGGAGGTCGACGCGCGGTGACGGCGGAGTGAATCATGGGCCGCGGCGCTACAGCCCGAAGGGGCGACGCAGCGGCGGCAGGAGGGTCGGGGCGACGGCGGGAAGACCTCGGGGCGGCGGCAGGGACCGCGGGCCGCGACGCTGCGTACCGAAGGGGCGACGCAATGGCGGTTCGCGAGTCGGTGCAACCGCGGGGACGGCCTTGGGGCGGTGGCGGGGACCGCGTATCGCGACACTACGGCCCAAAGGAGCGACGCAGTGGCGACGCACGAGTCGATGTAGCCGCGAGGAGAACCACGGGGCGGCGGCGCTGCGGCCCGACGGGGCGACGCAGCGGCAGCCCGATTCTTGATCGGTGGAGAAGCGCGCTGAACTCGGGGGCGATCTTCACGGGACCTGCGGAGGCGCGCGTAACCGACGGGCCAGGCCGATCGCGCGCGAGGTCGGGGACGCCGTTCTATGGAGGCGTGGTGGCGGCGGAGTTTGAGATGAAGCCGACGACGGCAAACGGTGTGAGACGTCGTGTGGACGAGCTTGTCAGCACCGGCACCCGGGCTGCCAAAGCAACACCGGCGCCCGGGCAGCGAGGCCCGAGCGACCAACGGGGCAGCGGCCCCCTGAGTTGAGGCAACTGACGAGCCTGACGCAGCCGTCCCGACGCAGCCGAAGACGAGGCCGGCGAGGTAGACCGCCGGGCCGCCGTACAGACGCAGCGGAGGCGGGTGACGTGGATCGATAGGCAGGCCGGCGAACCCGAGTGACGGCTATGATTGGCCGTCGCATGGCGCGAGGCCGCTGGGTCGGGGCGATCCAGGTGTCCCGGTCGGAGCAGGGCGGTGACGGCCGGCGCAGGGCGACGGCTGGACCGACGCTTGGACGGCGGCGGGCCTTGACGGGCCGCCTCGGCGCGCGTGGCTGCCGGGTCAGAGGAGAGGTCGGTTGGTCGCGCCGGGATCGGAGTAGAGGCGCTTGGGGTCGACGGCTGCGGTGGACGATGCATACTGATCAAGAATAGATCGGAAAACCAAAAAGAAATCGTGCGATCAAGATGACCGGTGGGAGAGAGAAAACCCCGGAGCAAGGCTCGGGGAAAAGACTCTCTAGGGCAGCCGGTCAACACGACCGGCGGACGAACCCTAGGTACGAGCGGCACGGGCCCCGGCGGCGGTCATGGAGGCCGACCGCCCCGGGGGCGGCGCGCAGGTGCGGAAGCGGCGGCGGCTAGGGTTTAGGATCGACTTGCGATAGATACCAAGTTAGATGGGAGAGAAGGATTTGGTGGAATAGTTGTTGTATTGGTTGAACCTCATGGGCATATATATAGGAGTATATGGTCATCTTTGAGTACAAGTCAAGGCAGGAACAAATCCTACGCTATCTTATGTTTCCTAAATAAACATTATACTCAACAGGGCAGATCGGGCCGGGTGCATGCGGCGGCGGCCTCCGGTCATGGCCTGGCCGGGGTGGTCGCCTCGCTGCGCGACGGCGGATGCCGGGGTGGGCGGCCCTGGACGGTGGCGACCGGTGAGGCCCAGGTCGTCCTTGGTTACACGACGCAGAGCTACCCATGTCCAAGGCGGAGCTGCTCCGGTGGTCCGGTGGCTTCGTTCCCGAGTCCCGTGCGGTACAGAGACGGTGAAGAGCATGCTTGGGATTCATCCTAGCGGCTCTTTCAGCATGGCGCGGTGGGGTGGCATCCGTCTCCATGCTCCAGTGGTGGCGCCCTTCTGCAATGTCTGGAGCGTCAGGGTACACCGCAGTGGCAGTGTGTCTGTGGATAATCGTCGGATTTGGACGGCCTGATCCGGGGTTCTGAAGGTGGTCTTGAGATGCACAATTGTCGGTTGGAGTCTCGTGCAGCAGATCCAAGTGAACACCTTGTTTTTGGCAGCTGGCCAAAGCCGGTGATGGTGTCATAATGGCGTCGTTTCCTTCTTAAAGGCATCATCGAGGTGAAGCTCCCAACTCCTCTCGCTACCTCCAGGGGAAACCCACGATCAGTTGAGCGGATGACGGCGATGCCCTTGTGTCATTCCCTCCTTGGAGGCATCATTCTTGGAGGTGTGCATTGGCATGAGGGACCAGTGGACGGCTCTAGCGGTGGAGCGTTCCATGTGACACATTCACGATGTGGAGTCTCAGTGGCGCGGCGCGGTAGGGTCTCGGCGATGGATGTGTGATGATGGATGCGCATAGGGAGGTGGCGTTGTCTGGTGCCATGGTGGGGTCGACGGCATGCCTGGCAAGGTCGATGCATCAATACCTGCTCTGAAAATGGATTGGTGGAAGACGGCGGCAACGGCCTCTGAGAGTGCGTCGGACTGGTGTGTGCCGGACTGGTGTGCCCTAGACCCGAGTTTGAGGCCTCCGGCTTATGTTAGGCTTTGGTGCGATGTATGTTTGGAATTCGGCTCGAACCATCGGCACCCCTTCATTAACTGGATAGGAGTAGCGATAGATGCAGGGCCGGTCCTGAGATTTTAGGGGCCCGGGGCGAAACTATAAACCGGGGCCCTTAAATGTATGGGTGAAAATAATAATGAATTATGTGTATAGATCTATATGTACAAATAATATTATTGATAACACTAAAAGTGATCCAGAAGCAATATTAATATACAAAATCAATATATGTTGAATTGGTACTTGTGGCTAAACATATTAGAACTAGACCATAATATATACTACTCCCTTGTGCCAAAATATAAGACATTTTTGTAGTTTAAATTGAACTGTAAAAAGGTCTTATATTTTAGATAAAGGTAGAGGTAGTATTTTAACAAGAAAATGAGGGCTCTGAGATTAACACGTTTGAGCTGTAATGTTCGTAACCATCAAAGAACATAGTTACTCACAAAACAACTTCTGGTTACAAATCTGCAACAACAACAACAATATGATATCATAACCTTGTAATAAAATTCTTGAGACCAAACTTCAAACTGCAGCCATTGAAAAAAGTTGAAAACCGGACAAGGCGAATGCTTTTTCACTGGATCACAACCCAGGATTTAAACACGGCATTGTCTATCTGAAGCTGGTAAATAAGCAGTGCCCTGTACTGAACAAGGGATGCATGAACTCAGAGACCAGCGCAATGCTCACAAGTTGCAATGCTTACAAGTTCTCAACTAACAGTTCACTGATTACCACATACATTTCTTGCTTGGCAGATAGCTTGTCGAACCATTAATAGTTCTCCACGAAGGATACGATGACCAAACAAAAAGGAACCACTGTACATCACATCCCAGTATTAGATAGCATGCAGGGTCTTTTAGTAAGTTTCTGGACAGATGTGCAAATGACATGCAGGACTTGTAATTAACCTCATGCTCATGCCTTTGATTTTCTTTTCCCAAGTAAACTAGGAGCAACGTGGGACATGAGGAGATCCTTAATAAACACCAGGGCAGCTCTTGGTCAAAAACTGGAAACCTTCAGACTCCATGGCCCCATACAGATTCACTGGCGAGCTGAGGAACACCAAGCATGCCGCCTTAAGCTCGTGGCAGTGGTGCTGCTCCGCCAAGGCCAAGATAGTCGCCACGGAGCTCGTATCGATATGATTGCACAGCTTATCTTCACAAATCAGCTTCAGCCTCTCCATATCATACCTGTCTGCTGCAACAAGCAAGTGCTGAGCCATGGCAGATTCCTCCTGATGATCCATATCAGGCAATGCATCCGTGTACATGAAATCAAGCAGAGCCTTGAACACCTCTGCCTCAATGTCATCTATACATATGGGCTCAGTGGTGGTGCCCTCCTTCATGTTCCCAAAGAGTTCTGCTCTGAAGACCGGAGACCGTGCCACGAGCACCAATCGATGCGCCGAGAATGTCTCCCTGCCGACCCGGAATTCGACATCGACGCCCGCCTTGCTCGACAGGAGGTCCCCGAGGTGCCGGTGTATGTCGGACGGTGGCACCACGACGGATGGTGTCTTCCGTGCGTGGAACTCGCCCATGACAGTGACATCGACCTTGACAGCGAAGGAATCGTCCTTGAGAAGCTCTGATTTCTCCAACTCGTCCCTTTTGATGTACTTGTTGAATCCCCAAGTGTTTTCCTCGGAGAAGTTTTTGGTGCCGGTTCCCCAGCAATAGGGCAGCAGCGGATTCCCATCTTGGTCGAGCAAGCTGAAGTTGGCTTGCGCCTTCACGGCCTCAGCCTCGCCGACGATATCATCGAGTGTGACGTAGAGGGATATGTAATCGGTGCTACTGGACTCGGCCCCGTTGGGATAGTAACGAAGATGCCATGTGCGGCCTCCCACCTGGAACGGACAAGAGTCGATCCACTTGCCATTGGGGACCTCCTTGGTGCGCGAGTAGCCGACGATCTTGAGCACGTGGTAGCCGCTCACGGCGCCGGCGACGATGGAGGAACCGGAACCGGAACCGGAGGGGAGACCATTGCCGCCGGCATGCGACGAGGTCGGCATGGTGTATCGGTTGGGCCGGTCGCGGTGGAGACGGTGTCACGGCGAGGGCTTTCTCCTGTTTTATAACTTGGGCGCTGTCTCCGGGGCTACACGGATAACGCAACCGGAGTCCGCTGCGGACACAGGCCGCGGCACTTTCGATGCAGATCCAAGTCCGTGCATGTACGTGCCATCTTCCTTTTTGAGATAGCGATGTACTTACCATCTTCAACAAGGAAACGCGCGCTTATATTTTGTACATAGGCCCTGTTTGGACCCTAGAGTTGGTGTTAGTTTGAGTTGTTTTGGGTTCAAATAGCTCAAAAGGATCCAAACAGGTGGGTTACATTCAGTTAGTTAGCTCTAACCCATGTAGAAAAACTATCCCTGTGGGGAGGTGCTACTTGGGCTAATTTTGCCAGGCCCCACAAAAAACAACTAAAAAAATTGCCCTCCCACGCCAGATCCCACACCACCTCGCGTGACCCATCTCGTTCCCCACCGCGCCGCCCACCCAAGCGCCGCGCCGCCAGCCCGGGCGCCGCGCTGCCCGCCCAAGCCGCGACCTCCTCCGGCCACCGCTCGTCCTCCTCCAACCGCCGCTCGTCCTCCTCCGGCCGCCGCTCGTCCTCCGGCTGCCGCTCGTCCTCCGATCGCCATCAAGGTACATACCACACGCATGCCCAGCCGCCCTCCATTTATTTGGTTCGATCTGTCAAGTAGGAGTGATCGGAGCCGAATGGAGTGAGCTAGTGAGCAACAAGTCAGCAAGAGTAGTCCATAACTAGATTTGTTGGCGGAACTTCTGATTAGTTCATAGCTAGATTTTGTACTATTTTATGTTAACAGAACTGACAGTGATGGTTAAAAGAAACCACTGATGCATTTTACATAAGAAAGAGAGTCAAATGTGAAGAACATTAACTGAATCAGAGTGTGAAGCTAATGAACTAGATCAGAACACCCTGTTCAGCCTCCTCTCTTGTTGCGGATGTTCTTGTGCAAGGATGATGTGGAGGAGTTAGCAAGCTCATTTGCATGGACAAAATAAAATTTATTATGTTTTGGACCCTTGATTTGTAAAGATCATTTGTTTATGTCAATTGTGAGTGGGAGGAGGCCACATCAAATCCGGCAGAAAATAGGGTCCAAAGTAGCCAAATGATTGAGATTGTCAATCTAACTCTACCATCCAAACACCTTTTTGGTTAGAGTTAGTTCTGGGTTAGTTCTGGGTTAGAATCTAACTCTAACCTCTAACCGAGTTAGAGTATCCAAACAGGGCCATAGAGTAGCCAAAGGCCCTTATTTTTTGGCAATTTATTTAGAGTAGCAAAAGGCCAAGGTATTTCCCTGCTGCAAGAGCACATGATCGTGGAAAACTTTCTCTTCTTCTATTTACTGTTCTTGTTCATCATCCTCGGTTACATACTAATGGGCACGGTTTCACTAGCTAGAGGACTGCCTCTATGGACTTATGTCGGTTCTGCGCCCTTACTAAAACTACTGAGCATAAAATGGCCGCATGCATCTCCCAGATGTAGAGGCCGGGGGTCAGCCTCCTTTTTCTAAAAAAAACAAAACTACTGAGCATCTTCTTCACCACCCGTGAATCATCCACTCAAATGTGACCATTTGCCGCATGGTTTAAGATCTTTGGGACGGCCTCCCGGGCCCTTTGTATAGTTGGCTCTATAGCTCGATTATGAAATCTGTCGAAGCGTAGCAATTCAAAGGTTTACCGTAATGATGATTGAGTTTCTCAATAGCTACATTTCAGTCGACTGAATTTTCGGACTTGGGTCAGTCAATTTTGGTTGAAGGAAGAAATAGCCAGAGGGGAGGAAGAAACTCGCTGGAGGGGAGGAAGAAGCTCGTTGGGCAGGCTACCCTGGTGTCTATCTTAGGGTTCAGGGTGGGGCGGTGGTGGACGGCAGTGGTGGGGGGGAGGGGCAGTGGTGTGTGGATTCGCCGGAGAAAAAACTAGGTGCGGCGGGGCCTAGAGGGATGGCCGGGGCGGTGGGAGACCAGCGTTGGGGGTGGTTCCGGGGAGGGCAGGGCGGCGAGGCGAGGCGGGAGCGCCGCCGGCCGCGGACGGCGGGGTCCGGCGGTCCGACCGGTGGCCCGTGGTGGCGGTTGAGGAAGAAGAACAGGGCGATCTGTTCGGAGGAGGAAGACACAATCTAGGCGGTTCATTTTCTATCCGACGCTTCAGATTCATCAAGACCAGATCTACTGACTGAAACGAGGTTTCAGTTGACTGGCTCCTAGCCCATTGAGTTTACCTCTGTGATATTTCATTGTTGCGATGACGACTTTGATGCTTTGGTCCAATTGTTGCTCGATGCTAATCTTGCCGTTCCTGTTTAATTTGGCGGCTTTCCTTGAATGTACCTCCTCCTTGCTCTCTTAGGGCATCCACAGTGTACGATTTAGCCACCTCTATCGCTGTCTCTATGCTCGCGCTGGCGCTATACACTATGTGCTCTGCCTCTAAGCTAAAATTCACTAGCGCCGTCGCTATGCTTGGAGGCAACCTCCAGCGATCAAAAAAATACAAACGGACCTACTCCCTTCGCTTCCAAATATTTATCTTTCTAGGCATTTTAAATGGACACAACACACGGATGTATGTAAACATATTATAGAGTGTATATTCTTTCATTTTGCTTCGTACGTAGTCATTTGTTGAAATCTCTAGAAAGACAAATATTTAAAAACGGAGGAAGAACATGCCAGTGTACAGATGTAAAAGATGCTCTCGGACAAGTGCATGGAAAGATTGAAATCAGCTGAGATATCTGGAATTGTTTATTTCATATGGGACCCATCTTTAGAAGCAAGAGCGGATGCTACACACTGTGAGGTCTTTGTGCATGCTTGGTGGTTGGGGTGTAGGGCCCACCTTAGTTGCAAGTCTGCCTCTACACATTGGTGATGCGCTTACACTGCAAAGAACTTTGTTTTCTGTGTTTTCCAAAAAAATATAAAATGGTTCATGCTGGCTTTTGTGCGCCGTAGTTCTCTCAACATTAAAAAAGCATACTATTGAATTTGGGCCAGAGGAGATCAATCATCCACAAAGCTGTTGCTCTACTCAAACTTTACAGTTGAGGGAAGTGAGTAATGCGGTTATTCCAACTATTCAGAACCTAGTGAGACCCTTGTGCCGAGCATAAGCAATATTAGAAACGAACATGAAGACACAGAATAGCCCATTAGCCCACCGATTACTATCCAAAGTGTGTTATTGCTAAATGTTATCATTCACCCATTTGAAGACATATCCACGGTCGTCCTTGTCTAAGGTATGTTCATACCAAAGATTCCAGTAAAGTGACAGAGAGTCGGAACTAAGAAATATCTAGTTGCAGGAAGCAAAGGGAAATTATGTTCTACTCCCTCGTTTTCATATCAGTTGATGTTCAAATGGATGTATCTAGTTGGATTTCAATGCATATTAGTTGACAACTTTTTTTTAGAGCAAAGGGGCACAAGGACCCGGTTCCATTGAAACAACGAAACCAGAGAACACATCATTCCGATACAAGCACGCGGAGCTTAGCAAAACACACGCTGCCTCAGCCACCATTCAGGCTAGAGCTCAACATAAAAGTTAGAGCTCAATACACAGAGAAACCAAATCTACATGAAAAACGATATTATCGGGGCCCTTCCCATCCATTGTTGGATTAGTGATGCTGGGCATGTATCAAATCCCCATAACCCCACATAGACTGGTTTTGTCTTCTCGATTAAAGGTACAACTTTCTCTTGGAAGTCAAGAAGACAGTCTTTAGTGGCTGCATCCACTAATCATTCTGAAATCATTGATTTTTACGAAGCATCACGTTGATGTGTGTAACTTCACAGAATGATGAACTTTGATAAAAGTTCAAGTGGGGTTGATTGATAGGAATCACCAACTATTATTTAAGAAGATAATGTTGTTTGTATTACACAGATGCAGACATGTTATAAAGAGCAACATTAGAATGTGTGTTGTTCTGAAAGTATTTTCTTCCCTATGAGTTGAAAAAATTGGGACGATAAATATTTTGCAAAGCAAAGTCATATATGATCTTGCTGAAATATGTTGATGCACATGTGGGTTTCGGATCTCCTGACGCATATTGAGGTAGGCAGTCCAGATTGCCGGTAGCTGGTGCTCAACTTGGGCAAGAGGACCCTACCTGTAGTATGGTTCAGTGTCAAACACTAGCTCTTCCCACTCGCTCTCAATGATCATGTTGTGCAAGATGACACAGCAAGTCATGATCTCCCACATTTGATCTTTCGACCAGGTCTGAGCAGGGTATCGGACAACAGCAAATCGAGATTGGATCATACCAAATGCCCGCTCGACATCCTTCCTGCAAGCCTCTTGAACCTTGGCAAAGTGGGACTTCTTGCGTCCTGGCACAACGTTTGAGATAGTCTTCACAAATGTAGACCATCTCGGATAGATGCCATCAGCTATGTAGTACCCCTTGTATTAGTGCCTACCATTGACCTCGAAATTCACCGGAGAAAGCTTGACAAAGACAGGGGAGCACTGCAGCACGTTGATGTCATTGTGAGTTCCTGGCATACCAAAGAAGGAGTGCCAAATCCAGAGGTCATGTGTGGCCACTGTTGGGAACGTAGCATGCAATTTCAAAAATTATCCTACGCTCACGCAAGATCTATCTAGGAGATGCATAGCAACGAGAGAGGAGAGTGTGTCCACATACCCTCATAGACCGAAAGCAGAAGCGTTAACTTAACGCAGTTGATGTAGTCAAACGTCTTCTCGAATCAACCGATCAAGTACCGAACGTACGACACCTCCGAGTTCTGCACACGTTCAGCTCGTTACATCCCTCGAACTCTTGATCCAGTAGAGGCACGAAGGAGTCGATGAGTTCCGTCAGCATGACGGCGTGATGACGGTGTTGATGAAGTGATCCGCGCAGGGCTTCGCGTAAGCACTACGACAATATGATCGGAGGAGTAAACGGTGGAGGGGGGCACCGCACACG